GCAGTAGCCGGCGCATGGTAAATGGGATGCGATGAGTTGAGTTGAAATTAGCGCAGAAAAAAAGTTCAAAGTGGTGCAAAATATTTGTGATTTTTTAATTTTTTTTTTTTGGAAAGACTTAACAAGGAATTCATTTTGGCCAACCTCAGTAACTGGGTAAATGTGCAGAGCAGTTATGCAGTTTGTTATTCCACGAAAGCATTAAAAGTGAAGAATGTGAGCGATGAATTGCGAAAATTACTGTAACAAATCTCGAGTCAGTAGGTAAAAAGCCAATAAAGCAAAATTAAAAAAGAAAACAGAAGAAAAAAATTTCTATAAATAATGGCAACCAAAAGTGTCGAAGAAAATGTTGAGGCCAATCACTTCACAACAATGTGCCTGAAAAATGTGCAAATCTACATATGTATAAGTGTGTATGTAGATAAAAACAAACAGTGACTCAAAGAAATGATCACGTGTCGATTTTCTTCAAATATTCGTTATGTTTTTCGAGCTAAATTTTTTTGTTGCTTTTACAAAAAAAATACCGTCTAAGCTTTAACCAACCCCGTATAAATCACAGTTTCAAACTTTATACAAAATTTTAGAAATTCAACAAATTTTCAACAAAATTTAAAATTTTTATTCCGAATTTATAGAAAATTTTTGGGTATGCAGTTTTATAGCCCATACAATTTTAGTCTAATGAAGTGCAACGGTTAAAAAATGGCGTTAATTTTTGAGATTTTTTTTTTTTGGTGACGGAGTTTTGCACTTTTTTTCATGTAAGTATGAATTTCTTATGAAATAAAACGCTGAAGACCGTCAGCAACAAAAGTTCAAAATATCAACGCAAGTTTTTGTAAATTGCGCTCGTTATATTAAAAACCCCAAAAAAGTAGCCTGCAAAAAAAAAATCTCAAAAAATCAACGCGATTTTTCAGCCGTTTGAAACATACACTTCAGCAGGCTAAAATTGTATGGGCTATAAAACTGCATACCCAAAAGTCTTCTAAAAATTCAGAATAAAAAGTGGAAATTTAGGTGAAAATTTTTGAATTTTCCTAAATTTTTATAAAGTTTGAAACTGTGACTTACACGGTTTTGGTTAAAGCTTGGACGATATTTTTAGATAAAAATAACAAAAAAAAAAACGTATTTCGAAAAACCTTACGAATATCTAAAAAAAAACGACACAAATGACCACTTGTTTGAGTCACTGTACAAACACATGCCTGCGTATGCACCTAGAAATTTACGTTTGTAGGCAGCTACTTGCTTTAACTGCACGCAAACATTTTTCGTATTTCGTATTTTCATTTGAAAAACTAAAAATAAAAAATAAAATAAAATAAAATAATGAAAAAAGTAGCCTACTCTAAAACAAAATACCAGTGACCGAAACGCGATTGGACAAACACTTTCGCTGCATTTGCATTTGACTTTGGTGTCGTGTAATTGAGAAAAGTGAAAAATCGCCGAGAGCTATGTAGCACAAACGATTAATATGCAACACCAGCGACAATTGCTTGCAACAGCATAAAATACGGCGTACATATACATATGTACATACATACATAAATACACCTACAAGTGTGCATATTAAAGTATGTATATACATACATATGTATATTTACATATTTATGTTTACATACATACATACATATGTATATACTAATGTGTGCCGTTGCAACGTTGCGCCTCTGGTGTGTTGTCATTCGGTCAGTGGAGCAATCAATGTTGCTGCGTTGCAATGTGGTGACAACAACAACTTTAACCCACACTAACAACTTAGTAATGATGTTGTCAATAAAAAAAATGCATTTGTTGTTGCTTTGCATGTGAAAATTAGAAAAGGTAAATACCAATGTTGACAAGATCTTCACACTTATCATCGCCAGGCGGGCAATATTTTCAAATATTTTATGTGAACGGAGAATGATATGCGTTAATTTATATTTTTTAAGTAACTTGCATGTGTGTATGTTGTCGCCGTTTGAGTAAGTGTTGTCGTGAGCCATAGTGTTACTATTCGAAACAAAGAGATTAAAAAAGTGTTTACTTCAAATTTCTCCGACTTCGGAAAATTTTACAGCCTTATGGGTAGAGGCAAGACTTCACAAAGTTCTAGCAAGAGGCACAGTTCTCCCAAAAGCATCCAATAATGAGATCACGAAAACTAAAAGACAAAGCTTTAGAGCCTTCTGGGTAGGAAATTCTTTAATACCTGCATCCGCAAAGCTTCTCTAATCCCTGGCAAGAGGAAGAGTTCTTCCAAAAGCACCCAATAAGGAGATCACGATAACTAAGAGCGAAAGCTTTATAGCCTTCTGGGTAAGAATTCCTCTAATGGCTGGCTTCACAAAGCTCTGGCAAGAGAAAGAGTAGAAACTAAGTTGGTACTTAGGCTACAAATGGATCCTGCGAAAGTAGCGAAGATTGACCAGACCGTCTTTGGCGGAATGGAGGCGGAAAAAAACCTTTCTACCCAGCAATTTGTGCAATGAGAAATCGTTTTTTTTTTTTTGATTGCCTAAGCTCCTGGGGTCTGTTTTTTCTCAAAGAAAAGATAAGAAAAAAACTATTTTTAACCGACTTGAA